GGCAAAGACAGGTAAACAACGACATCCCTTAAGGACATGATTGAAGCTTTCTGATGAATTTGTTGTCGTAATACCATGGCGTGAGCCACCTTCATCATGGGACAATGCCCACATGTGTTTTGGAATAGCCCTAAGCCAGTTGTATGCTTCTTGATTTTTGGCTGCTATCTCGAGAAGCGTCTGCTCGAACTCACTTCTGTTAGGGGTCTTACCAGCTTTATACATCATGTTCTTCAGTTTCTTACTTCGAAACTTGCTATGGAAATTGCTTCGCACATGACGGAGACATAACACCGTGAAAAAATAAGTTATCAAACCAAATATTTCAACATAAACAAATATCTCAACAAATGCTTTTGAATCTCAAAACATTAAGTACCCAGCACAATATATTAAATGTAACAAAAAATACTAAAGATAGTGGCTACCAGTACCACAACGTGGACGACGTCGATTACGTCGTGGACGAAGACCCTCCTCTCCTTCACCCTCCACTTCTACGTCATCAACTGTCTGCTGGATTACCGGCGGTGTAATAGTGGAGACAAAATGTCCAAACTCATTTGTGAGGTGACTTTCATGAGTAAAGTAATCACCCCTAAACACATCTCCATCAAACGTCACTGGTGATACATCGTGCATGCGCCTCTGAGGATGCTCTATGTGGAATTCAGGAGGACGTGAACTCGACGGCTCAACCATGCAAGAAGGTGTATGTGTGTCGCTCTGAATATGTTCTTCGTCACCAACATCTTCTTCATCATCATCCTGGGTCATAGGGGGAGATTCAATGGGGATGTGTTCGTCTTCATCATCGACGTGCAACCTCCGACTACCCCGCCCTCCACGTCTGACTCCGACAGCAGGTGCATCACGCCTTCTATCTACCCGTCTCCTGATATGTCCTCGGTTGTAAGGATGCTGATCCTGTGGGTGATCAAGGATAGATGCATGCCCAAGAGCACGAACACACTCTGTTAACAACTCATGAACTCTCAATACCTCGTGTGAAGGTACAAACCCATCTGGATGCCTACCAGGATCAAGGCGTTGACTGCAATCCGCCATACAGTATAACTACATACAACATTTTTAATTAGTTTAAAAAAAGATTAAATTTAGAAATATGTACATTAAGAATACTTACTGCAGTCTGTAGCTCCAGAGAAATGGGGATGTACCCTGGTCGGTGCTGATGGGCAGGGTTCCCTATCTGTCGTCGACCCCGAAGGTAGTACCACTGATGATACTCCGGTGTGGCATCCACCATCCCAAACTGCATCTGGACTGTAGCATCATAACGTCCCTCCCACATGTCTAAATAATGTCTCTCACCATCGCCAATTTGCATAACACTTGACTTAATTTGGTGTAGTTGACGGTCATAAACAACAACTTCAGGGATGTGTTGCAGGGCACCAAACTGCCTGCAAAAGCGATCGGGATAGTACATCTCCACAACGTAGGTATAGATCAAGGGGATTCTAGAAGTCCATATTCCGATTCCAGCAGAACAATAGGGTGGTAGGGTATTGACATTCGGATACGGCAACCATACAAACTGCATGCATAAACAACTAGTAATATACACATTCAAACTAAACTATATATGTATAACATTATGATATTATGAATACTCACCTCTCCCTCGAGCAATCTGTCAAGCTGGTCCCGGTATGCTCGTATGGAGTGCGTGGTACAATCTGACCATCGATGGTAACACACCCATCTGCAAGCGAATGATTATGCACAACCATGAATGAAATATAGAATATGATTTTATAATATACATAAATAAACTACAAATACCTGACTCCATATGGGACATCTACTAGCTGATCAAATGGTATAACCCCTCTAGGTCTAGTCATAGGCAGACGCTCCCAAGCCCAAATCTGTAACAAGACTAGACAACCTCCAATCTGTGCTGCACTCGTCGCACTAGCACGACACATACTGCGATACAAGTAACTGAGTACTGCCGAACCAATCGCACGACCTCGCACAGTGTTTGCGTCACCCATGATTATCTCTAAAAGATACAAACTAACCTTATTTCCCGTCGTGTTGGGAAATAGGCTACCACCCAACAACTTAAACATAATGGCTCTGGCATGCTGCAAGTAATCTACATCTAAACTATGATCTGTTAGTTGCTTAGGAACAATGGCAGACATCTTAATCATAGTAGAAGTAATATCAGAAGTTTGAGGCCGAAATCCCATCATGTCCTCACAAATCTGAATCCACTGGTCTCTGGATCGGCCAGTCATCCCCGCCAATGGATTGCCATCTACGGGCAATCCCAGTAAAACCTCTACATCCTGTAAAGTAATTCCAACCTCTCCGAAGGGAAGATGGAATGAATGGGTCTCCGGCCTCCATCTCTCCACTAGAGCTGTGATCAAAGCCCAGTCTAACTGCAAGCCACCAACTTTCTCAACCCCATAAAATCCGTATTCTCGTAAACTCACTCACACGAACCGGTCTATTAACAATAAGAGTCCTCGTATACAACCTAGTACAAGTCCTGTGACACTTTAATAATTTTTTAGCATATTCTTCTTCGGCCCAAACCGCATCACACCTATGGTCTCCCGCTTCAATTACTAAAACATCGCGTAAAATAGGTCCCGGATGTACATCCATTTGCTTCAAAGATTACAACATAAGAATATATTCAATTAATAAAAATATAACAAGACAATTATATTTAAAAAAAATCATGAACTAACCACCTATACATACATACAAATTTGTATCAAATTTGTAAGATTAAAACTATATATTTGTCAATATTTTCACATCATCAAAACAAATATAACAAAAAAAGCACCTATACATACAATCTATTTACTAAATCATATACAACAACAATCAAACAAATTTAAAAAAAAATTAAAGACAAAACGGAGTACCTGACTCCGGTCGCAAGGTGTCCGTCGATCTCCCCCTCGTCGCACTTCTCTCTCCCTCGGCGTTTCCTTCTCTCTCCGCCGGAGTTACCTTCTCTCTCGGCGTTCTTTCTGTGTGTGGCCAAGAGTAAAAAACGAGTGGATGGGGAGGGGAGTGGATAGGTGATTTGAAGGGACACGGAGTTACCTACTCCATCTGGGTATTATTAAATCCGAACGGAGTAGCGTACTCCGTCTCAGAAATAAAATCATGAGAAACGGAGTAGCCTACTCCGTTTTGTTTATTATTTCGAAATCAAACGGAGTAGGGAACTCCGTGATGCACTGCGAGGAAATAAAACACTGACTTACACTACCAGGAAGTGTTTTTTATTTATTTACATATATCGGGAGTTTACTCGAAGAAATGGGTGAAAGAAGAAGAAAAAGAAGAGAGTGGGAGAGGGAAGATAAGAAAAAAAAAGAAATGGGGTCAAATTGAAAATTTTAAAATATATAAAATAATAATTTAGTCCAAATGATCGAAAGTTAACGTGGAAACAGGTAAATGGACTTTTAGTAAAATAATTATGTAAGTTCATGTACTTTTGTGAAAGGATCGGTATCACTTCGAAATTCTAGTGAAAGTTCAGGTACCATTACTGAAATTTACCTCTCCAAAATACTCTCTCTCTCTCCCTAAATCATTAGTCTTTACGCAAAATATGGCAAAATTTTAGATCTTTTCAATTTGTTTTATTTAAAATTTAATATATAAATAAAAGAATAAAATTTATATATTAAAAAAAGTACATCAAAAATTAAAAATTTTAAAATATACTCCCTCCGCCTACAAATAAACTTTACGTTCATTATTCACAGGGTCAAACTTTATTCACTTTGTTGGCCTATTTTCGTCACCCATTTGATAAAATAATATAGTCATGTCACCTCTAGTTTTGTAGATCTTTTGATATAGTTTTTTAATATGTAATTTTTATTTTTCGATTCTACACCATTTTTCATATAAAATGATTTGAAAATAACTTCAGTCAAACATCGTAACGCGTAATGTAAAGTTTATTTGTGCACGGATGGCGTATAAAATTCTAATTTAGTCTAAATGACTGAAAGTTAACCTGGAAACAGGTAAATGAACTTTGAAAAGATTATATAAGTTTAGTTACTTTTGTGAAAGGATTTAAAATTCAGATACTACTTCGAAATTCAGTGGTCCGGTACTATTACTGAATTTACCCTATTTTGGAGGGTTTGTTTTTCTTACAGAAAATGCTAAAGAGGCACCACATGTGCCTCCAAGCATGCCACCCAATATATTTAAAATTTAATTTTTTTTCAATTTTTTTGGGTGGCTTTTCGTCTCCAGCCCCAAAAATCCCAAATCTCCTTTCTCCCGCTTCAACCTCTACAACCTCTCCGTCCTTCTTCTCCGGCATCTGCGATAGTCTCCCTTCTCCCAAGTCCTTCATCTCTGTCCTTCTTCTCCGTCCACTCCTCCAGCGCAGGTCTTCCTTCTCCCGCTTCAACTCGCAGCCTGCGACGAAGTCCTTCTTCTCCGTCCTTCTCTCCGTCCACTCCTCCAACGCAGGTATGATGCTAATTCCAAAGTAATTTAGAATTATTGATCATTCTACATAGTGATTCTTGTGCAGCATATTAGGTTTTTATGGTATCAGGTAGACAAGATCTCTCTTGTAGAGGAAATAGACTAGCTCGACCTGGCAATACCAACTTAAGCTTATCAAGAGTTTTATCACATTCACTGCCAGAGTTTTATCAAGAGTTTTATCACATTCACTGTGTGAATTGTATGGCATAGATGGTTAAGTTCTGTTATTTGAACTTCATATAACATTATTGTCTGTGAAAAAGGTACTATGCTTCTTCTGAATTCCATGAACTTAAACTCATGTGAATCTCTCTTCACATACATAAACTGTCTGTGTGTTTTGTAAAATAGACATTTAGCTCTTTTTTTCTCCCTTGATGCGTAGATTTTTTTGCTCGTGAATGGAGATGGGAGACATTGGGTTCTAGCTGAAATAGACCTCTTACGAAATCAAGTTCGAGTTTATGACTCCTTGAAAGGGCCGAAATCCTCATTTTATGTTCAAGAAGTAGTAAGAAGAATACCCCCCCTACTTCGCACGGCTAAGGGTGTGGGTGCAAACACTTTGGAGAAGGAATGGGAAACAATTGTTGTCAATGGTATTCTGCAACAGGACTCTAGGTTTGTTCGCCATTACTTCGTCATGGTACTCCCATGGAGTGGTGAAAATCATACCCCCCTACTTTTTTTTAATATTATTTTCCCTTGCAGGTATGGCAATTGTGGAGTGATGGTGCTTGCATTTCTAGAGTCTTTGTTGGTTGGCTTACCATTAAGCCTGGACTGCAGTTCTGAACACATGGCTGATTTCCGATGTCAATTTGCAGCTAGGTTATGGCGTGGAAGGAAAACAACCAATATTTAGCATTTTTACTTTACAGTTTTAGGGGTCTTTTATTTTTGTAAAACTCTTTGTAATGATTTATGTGCTTTGTAATGTATTTTTTGGGGAAACACTTTAGGTTTTTTTGAAAGTTTTGTAATGGGGCTTTTATAATCATGAATTTGTACTTGTTAATGCATAATGTGTTAGTGTATGTGATGCACTCTGTGCTGCAAATTACAATACAATACAATTGGTTCTTAAGCAATTACACTCTGGTGTGGTGTAAGTAGTTTTGGTTCGTAAGCAATTACAATACAGTTGGCCAAAATGTACCTCACTGGTTATTGGACTTTGTACCGAATGCAGTGTTTGGAGGGAGTGTTTTGTCCACCCGCTATTCATTTCTTTCCAAATGAAAATTTGTTCAGTTAATACATTTAATTTAATTCAATTCTTACGGCTTCTTTTTGCAGTTGTGCAGAGGACTGTTTTACATTAAACACTCATATAGTTTATGACTGATTTACAGATTTACTTTTAGAGCCCTCACAGAGAATAACTGTCTATTTTACCCATTACACAGAGATTTAATGTATGTGACGACAGAGTTGCATAACTTTATGCACATACACCATCTTCAGAATCTTATCACATATGTGGGGGTCTTGTAAAGGTAAAAAGAAAGTTAAAATGAATACATTAGATTTCATGGTGCTCACATGGAATAACTGTGTATGTCACACACTTCACAGAGAGTTAATGTATGTGAAGACAGAGTTGCATCAGGTTTACATCAGTTTATATGCATGGAACTCAGAGAAAGTTATCATATTTGTTACATACTTTACACAAAAAGCAAAAAGCAAAAAGCTATGTGATTTGGCTTTGCGAGTTGTCCTAGTCCGCATTGGAAACCTACACTTCGAGCATAAGCCAGATAGTGTTCTCAGATTTTTTCAATGTTTGTAAACTTCATCCACACTTCATGCACGCTACCTTTGTTTCCTTTAGAAGGACACTAGCCATTGTTCTGGACACCATTGTTAATGCTTGTTAATGTCATCTGTGTTCTGTCCAAGCTCACCACTCGCCTGTTCTTGCCCTTTGTCGTTAAATAAATACTGAAAGCAAGGATCGTTAAGAAACAAATCTGGTTCAAAAGCTGCAAAAAACATTATCTTTAATATAATACAATGCATGACTATGAAGAAAACAAATATACACCAAATGCAGAGTGCATACAGATTATTAGCATCTGTGACAAGGACAAACCCTATGTTCATAGAACTTTAATCTCTGTAACACCAAAACAAAACAATTTTTTTCCACTACTTCAAATGAATATACAATAGGGTCTAAATATCAACACTTACAACTGGACTGCAACTCATATAAACCAGGTCTTCTTCTTTACCACCAAAATCATGTGGTTGATCATTCTCAACATGTGTAACAATACATGTTTGTAAGTCCATAACCACCAAATACCCTATGTACTCCACAAAAATTCAAAAAATGTATAACACACAAATTCAAAAAATTATAACACAAAAATTCAAAAAATTATAACTGGCCGCGAAGGAAGAGCCTGGGTGGTGGTGGTGGCTGGTCGGCCACGAAGGAAGAGGCTGGGTCGGCGGCTAAGGAGAGGTCGACGGCGAAGGGTAATTGGCCGGCGAAAACAGGCCGGCGAAGGGTGGGGTGAGGGACTGTGAACAGGTCGACGGCAAAGGGTAGGGTAACTGGCCGGCAGGACTAGGGACAGGCCGGCGAAGGGTGGGGTGAGGGACTGGGAACAGGTCGGCGGCGAAGGGTAGGGGAACCGGTCGGCGGCGACCTGCAAACGGGTCGTAGAGGAAAGAAAAAAGAAAAAAAAGCTTAAATAAAGAGGCAGCAAAGTAGGCCGGGTGATACTTGCAAGGGTGATACCAGTCCTTTTCTTACATCATACTTTTTTGGACACACTCGCTGTCACAGCGGTGATACTTGCGAGGGCGGAGGTTGGACGACGCCACTTTTCATGAATTTGCTGCTGAATTTCTTCCGAATCCTTTGCTTTCTTCCGTTTTCTCAGCCTTTTTTGGCTCTTATAAGTAAAGGAAGGTTTCAACTCTCCCACTCACTTCTTCTGCTCCTCTGCTTAACCCTTTCAAGGTCCTTTTCTTCTTCTTCTTCTGCTGATTAGATTAGCTTCCTCCTTTCATATCTCGCATTGGGCTTGTCTCAATTCTTCTTGATTAAGTCTATTTTCCTCTGGGCTATGCCATCTTTGTCCTAACTCAAGTAATTCTTCTTCTTGATTTTACTACATCCCGAGATTTGTTAATTTTTTCTGTGTATGAAATTCCAGTCTAATTGATCGCACATGCATAGTGGAATTATGTGTCTGTACTGTTTTTGAGCTTTGATTTGATTATTGATTTCACAATTGGACAGTTTTGATCCTCTCAGTAGATTTTTATGGTGCATTGGATGTAAGGGTGTCTTTTCATTCCCAAATCTTGAATGTGCTGTTTGTGAGGTTTTGTTTTTTTACAATGGAAGATTCAGTCTTTCTGAAAGGCCGTTCCTTTGCAGAAAAAGAAATTCACACACACACACACCAAAGAGTCCAAAGTGATAAACTTTTATATTGAACTTATCTAAAATTATGTTCTTGATGATAATTGATGATATTTTTTGTTGATTTTAAGTGGTTATCACTTAGTATTAAATTGTATGTTGGTCAGTATGAAAATTTTAAGTTTTTTCCCCCCAGTTATTGGATGGAATCATGGAACTGTAGACAAGTCCACTATATCTCACTCTAATAAGGGGTAAAAAGACTAGACTGAAACCACACAGACAAATCATTTTCATAGGTACGGTTTGCAAATGTCCTGTCATTTTTTATATAAATCTAACAACATGATTAAATGTGTCCAAATCATTATAGTTGATGAGGGACTAATCTTGTCCAGTTTTGAGCTGAAGATCAAATCTGCAAATTTATCCCAATTATTTTACACTTAATTGGAAAGGTAAAATTTAGAGGGAATAGGATATTTCATTTGATGTTTCATGATTTGCAACTGACTTATAATAACAAAGTGCTAGTTAACATATGTGGTTTTGTTGGTTATTGTGGAAATTCACTCTTTACTATCTCTTTTGACAGGTAGAAGCTATGTGTCAAAGAACATACTCAACAAAAAATTCACGTTTGTAGTTAGTGGCACAAGAAAGGTTTTTTTTATACTCCGACACTTCTCTCACGTGCTAACAAGATTTGGTTTTACACAAACATTGCATGCTAACATTAACCTTTTAAACCTAGGTGATGATGAGATTTGAACCCGTGGCCTATAGTCAACAAGTTGGCTTTGATACCGTGTTAAGGAACCAACTCAACCAAAAGCTCAAACTTGTTATTAGAGACCCAAGAAAGGTTTTTACACTTCCCTAACATTAAGTATTTATAGCACACAACTCAAAACTGGTTTGGGGTAAGGAATTACTCTGTTGATTTCTTGCTACAAAATGGTGCATTTGGATGGTATTTAACAGCTCTTACTATGTTGATTACTACAAAACGTGTTCTTAAATCTCACTGCAGGATAACAGTATTCAATTTCACGCTCTTCCATTTAAGACAAGACATCTCCTGAGAATGAATTGTTTGACAGGTCCACTTCAGTTTTTTTTCGTTGAACACTTCTCTGGTTCTATTTTAGTGGGAAATTTAAATACTCTAAGCAACGAATGCTTTGAGCTCATGTACGCTGTACTAGTGCTATATATGGCCGTCGAGTGTGAACAATTTTCCCCAGAAACTAAACATACTAATTGCCCATAGGAAAAGAGCCGGCCTGAAATTCTCTGCAAATCGCTGAACAAGGAAATGCGAATCGCTCTCCATGTCCATCTCTCTAGTCGTAAGCATTTCACACCCCGGCATCGCAACCATGGCGGCTTTCTCTAGTCCTGAGCTGAGGTTTCCGGCGTTGGATTTTTCAGCGATGGACAAATTCCCAGTGGAGGAGGACCGGATAAGCCCGGCGGCGATGCGGTGCTTGTTTGGTGTTTTCTGTTGTTCTTCCCTATTCGACATTTTGTGCTAGTAGTTTACTCCGTATATTGATAAAAAAATGTCTGTTTACACTTTGTGAAGTGAACTAATATTCTGTGACAATGGGAACCGTTAAAATATCGGTGCATTCCATTAGTATAAAGTTGGGATTCACTTTTTGGTGTATCCCTAACATGGTTCGTTTTGGAAAATTAACGTCAATAACCTTTCTGTTTTTGAAACTTACGAAGTATTTGTATAGTTTTTGTGGAAATATTCAAGTAATGAAAAAGTTCACAAATTGTAAACCTGTGAACTTTTTGTAAAAAGTTCACAAATAGTAAGTTTGTGACCATTGTGTTTGTAAACTAATCATTTCTCTTATAACAATCATGGTCATTTAATGTTAGAAAGTGAAAGGTTTATAAAAATCTAGTAATAATAATAATGGTTATTTTTAAATGGTAAATACTTTTAAATATTTATTAAAAAAATTATAAAAAATACGGAGTAAAACTTATACAAAAAAAATTTAAATTAACGAAATTAGTTTTCGCATTTTAAAATATGTTAGAGTGATGAAAATATAATACAAAAATTAAAAATTATTATTAAAGTTAGAAAGTGAAAATTTATAAAATGAAAGGATTTATAAAATATAATAAAAATAGTTATTATTTAACCTAACATTTTTATTAAAGTTAGAAAAAGAAGTATAATAACTAGTACACACGCATGGTAATGCCAAGTGGCATGACACGTGTTACAAATGACAAAAATAATAGATACCTCAATTCGGATATTCATAAAAGTTGCAGTGGGAATGTGGGATAATTTTCGAAAATTAGTTTTAAAATAAGTTTACTCCATCTATCCATAAAAAAATTACCTCTTTACTATTACGGTCTCTCGATAATTTTTGTTTATTTATAAATTTTCTTTGATTCTTTGATGAAATAAAATATTCTTGTCACCTCTTATTTTTGTAGAGTTTTTTAATCTAGTTTTTAAATATAAATTTTTTATTTTTTACCAATTTGTAAATAAAATCATTTCAAAGTGACAAAATTTTGCACGTTGATCAAAGAAGGTAATTCTTTTAAGGACGGAGGTAGTACCATTTTTACTTATAAAGAGGTAATGTCGTTTATTGTTTTTCTAAAATGTTTGTTTGAGATATTTCCTCTATTCCTAAAAGATCTTCCTGTTTATTATTATTGTCTCTCGATAACTCTTGTTTGTTTGCATATTTTCATTGATCAATTGATAAAATAAAATATTTTTTTCGCATCTTGTTTTATAGATTTTTTGATATAGTTTTTAAATATAAATTTTTTATTTATTATTTGTTTACCAATTTGTAAATAAAATCATTTTAAAACCCATGAGACTTTGCGTGTTGGTCAAAGAAAGAAATTTTTTTGAGAAAGAGGGAATACAATTTACCTCATACTCATTTCGTCCCAAAAATTGTTTCCCTTTGGACATATATAGAATAGAAGAGAATGAAATTTTTTTGTTTTGACTTTTTCAAATTACCCTTGATATGATGGGTAAAAAATAAGATATGACGGGGAAATTAATAGTGAATAGATTTAAATAATATCATAAATAAGGTAAAATATAACAAGAGTGAAATAATTGTTTAATACCACAGTAGATAATAGAAAAACTCTGGTAAAAATCTTTTAGGCAGGAACTGAAGGTAGTATTATCTATTTTTTGTACTCTCGTTCTCAAAAATACCTCTTTCATTTTTTCCACTTCGAACAAAACACTTCCACTTTCTATTAAAAAATCACTTTTACCCTTATTTTTTCATACCCTACCTATCACATCATACTTTTTTTCTAATAATATATATTATCACATCTTATTTTTTACCCATTACCTCAAAGACAAAATTGGAAGTCAACTACAATTTAACACTTAATCAAAATAGAAACTCTTTCTAAGAACGGAAGGAGTAATACACTAATACGGAGTACTTCGTAACATATTTCTTTTAAGAAAAGTTTTGAAATCTGGAGACACTTCATAACATTACTTTAAATGTGTTATGCGAACTCATTATTTCAGATATCATGTCAGCCAAATTAATTTAACATAACTAAAAAAGCTCAAATTAAGACCGGTCAGATTAGAGTAGCAATGTGAAATCTAGTAATTTTTGGAGTATTAACATGTAAAAACTACTTTAGAGTAATACCGAGTATTATGTAATTAGAAAAATTTGAAATATTGGTGTCAATTTTTTTCTTAAAAAAGTACTTCCTGTGTCCATTTTTTCTTCTCATTTCGAACAAAGTGCAAATTTTCATTTTTTAAAAATTCCTTTATTTATATAAATCGATACATAATTAGAAGTACAAATTACATTGTTCATATTTATATTAAAAGTTTTACAAAACAAAATGTAACAAGAATATTTTATCTTATTAAACGATAAATTTATACATGTAAACAAACATAAATTATCGAGAAAATACAATAGTAAAAAAAATGAACGGAGAGAATACTGAGAAAAGATAAACCCATCTCCGAGGGTTTATCAAAACCGGCCATACTATCAAGTGAAAGAGATAAATTAGATTTTAACTATAGATTAGTGTAAAAGGCACGAGTAAATACAAAACAAAAAGTTAAAAAGCAATCGTGAAATTGAACCCCTCTCCCAATCTTCAAAGCAAAGAAGGGCACGAGATGGAGCTGATCTCAGATGGAGTTGGGCATCGACCCTCGCGGGTTGTGCGTTGCCTTCTTCACCTTTTCTGCGTACGTTTCTTGTTTTTTATTTTATGCGCGCTTTAACGCCTCTTTACCCCTCCTGAATATCCTGCTTATTTTCTTCTCAAGATTCTGCTTTCCTCCGTTTTCTCAGGCTTTTTCGGCCTTTATAAGCAAGGGAAGGTGGCTACTTCCTCACTCACTTCCTCTGTTTTACCCTTTCAAGGTCCATTTCTTCTTCTTCTTTGATGATTAGATTTGCTGCATTTTTTCTTTGTTTAAATATCCAGTTTAATTGTTTGAGCATGCATGGTGGGATTATGTGTGTGTAGGTTTTCTGAACTTTGATTTGATTATTGGCTTCACAATTGGACATTTTTGGTCTAGTCATTTGGTTTTTTTAAGGTACATTGGATGGAGGGTGTCATTTTACTCTGAAATTTTTAAAGTACTGTTTTTAAGAAATTTTACTATGGAAGATTCAATCTTGCTCAAAAACAGTGAGTTCTTTTTTTTTTAACCCAGAGAAAAGAAATTCACACACACCCAATAGTGATCAATAGTGAGGTTGTCTAAACTTATGTTATTTCTTAAAAATGGTGATAGTTGTTGATTTTTAGTGGCTACCAGTTAGTAGAAGATTTTATACAGGTCCATATGAAAATTTTAAGTTTTTCCCTGCCCTGTTATTGGATGAAATTGTAGTTTCTAAGTAAACCAAACCAAACAAATCCACTATATCTCACTCAAGTGTTAGGTTTGGGGGGAAAATGTTCTAAGGCCTTCCCATGCTCTAAGGAGTAAAAAAACTAAACTACAATATGTTAAAACCACACACACACCATTTTCATAAGTTTGGTTTTCAAATGCTTCCTACCATTTTGGCATTTTCCATATAAATTTAACACCAAGAAATCTAAGTATTGTTTTTATATTTATGATGTTCATTTCATGGCTTCTTCACACTTTAATGCTTCTTAACCCTTGAATTGCCTGCTCTATTTCTTCTCAATCTTTTGCTTTCCTCTGTTTTCTTAGGCTTCCTCACTCACTTCTTCTGCTCCTTTGTTTTACGCTTTTAAAGTTCATTTCTTCTTCTTCTGATTAAATTCGTTGATTTAATTGATTGCACATGCATGGTAGGATTATGTGTGTGTAGTGTTTTTTTTAAAACTTTAATTTGTTCATTGGCTTCACAATTGAACCACTTTGGTCTGGTCATTGATTTTTTAAGGTACATTGGATGTGTGTGTGCTGGGGGAGGGGGGGGGGGG